GGTTATACCAGAAAGGGGCCAGCAACAGCTTCTGAAAGGCAACGCTCACCCAGGAAAAGCTGCGATACAAAAAATGTGGCGCGTAGCTACCTATGGTAGCCAGGGCCGGATGATGACATTGAGACTAAGGTATACCTGCCAACTCTCACGCCTTAGGCGTGAGTCTCACGCCTGCGGGTTGAAAACTTCGATCTCACGCCCGCTCACGCCTGTGGACCAATTTCTCACGCCCGATTGAAAAATGTGAGTTGTTGCAATTGCCGTCTTGCTTGACACAATTTCCAAAAATATGTTAACTCAGACCCATGTAAGGAACGAAAACCATGTGTAAAATGAATAAATGATAATACCTTCCTCGCGATCTCTGATTTTGTGGATAAGCGTTTTCCCGATAACCTCGCCTTCGGCAGACTTCGGACGTCTTCGGAAGACTTCGGACGTCTTCGGGAATCTTCGGAAATGATCGTGTCGTTTTCAAAAATCCCAGCACTCCCAGGATAAAAATCTCACGCCTACATCTCAGAAAAAGTTGGCAGGTATACTAAGGTCAAGTTGTGATAACTGTCCCTGCAAGCCTGAATGTTTCAGGCTTTTTTTTGGCACTTGCATAAGTTGTATCTTTAACTGCAATGATCTTATTATGTCAGTTGCATAGGGCAACACCGGTCCCTGTTCCCCTTCATTCGTGGCAGTGGCCACCGACAAATATAACGTGAGATAATTTTGGTTTTCACAGCTGTACTTAATCTTAATGTTATAAACAAAAACAGGTACATGGCAGAGCAAATGAATTGTGTTCTCCTGATTTGGTAGCAATGTATTTTTCTAAAAATAATTGGTCGCGTACTGAAGATGTTATGTTATCAAACTGAAATTTCATTTTTAGCACCTGCATTGTTTACTTCGAAAGTACTTTCCTATGAAAGTAATAAGGTTATTTTTTACGGGCTACACAAAGGGACGCGAAGAGTGAAAATTGCCATATAGAACACTGAGGCAGCTAAACCAGTGACTTGAAATTCAACCCAGAAAGAGCTAGTTTTCAAGTAGAGCTTCTTGTCAACCACAAATAACGCTAAGTAAATACAAGCTAAAAACAAAATCGCCCTCGCTAGGATCAACAAAACATCTAATGTTTGTCGAATCCGAATTTCCGTCAAGTTGACTTACCCACTGATAGCGTAATAGACTGTTCACAGCCCTCCATTTTTCCGTAAGATCGTCGAGATCGAGAGCTTTGCGTTACGGGCTGCCATCTTGCATGAGTGTCAAAACTACTTAGGGGGCAGGGGCGGATTAATCCCCGACGCCCGCCCCCTCGGTACATTCGAAAATCAAGTAAGACGCGGTATATTTAAACGATCTCACGAAAAAAACGCGTTGATTGGCTGAAAGAGAGTGACAGATGCCACCTTTTTTCAAGGCATTTGGCAGTTTAGAACGATTAGGGACGGACCATTAGAAAAGTTATGGGGGGTGCGGGCCAAGTACAAAAAAAAATATTCGCACAAGGGAAAATTAAATGAAAAAAAAATTATGCACGCCAATTAACCCTAAAAAATATTCATGCTACGGCCTAAAAAAAAATCATACAAGGAATTTGATAACGAAAAAACATTACTGCGGCTCAAAAATTCCCACTCCCCCTCATAATTCTTCTAATGGTCCGTTCCTTAGAAGCCTTCAGCTCGGTGTATTGCGTGATGTCACCTGATATGTGTTGGTAATTTTTAACTATATGCCTGTTTGTTCGTCGTATGATCACTGTCGTATCGGCTCCTCTCGTAAATACAATTCATTTCTCTTGGTTAAAAATTACGCGAATTTACCCGTTATAAACTCGAACCATATTACTAAATATATTAAGAAACATATTTTCAACTATATGCTATATATCCTGTCCAACCTACAGTTAAATTTCCCAGTTAAATTTCAACTTATCACGCCAGACACGTGATTATAATTATTCAGAACAGGGAATGGCAATAACCGAGAGAAAGCGGAAGTATGAGGGCTAAAGTTAGTCATCGAACCGAAACGGACTAATGTCATGTCAGGAATCGCTGTTTGATTACATGCAAGGAAAGATTTACAGGTATGGAACAAGTATTGTTTATTTCATGATTTTGATAGCATAACTGACAGTAGTCGGGTTCGTATTCAAATGATAGCTAATTTCAACACGACGATTAGTATTACAGTCCTAGCGAAATTAAGTGTTGTTTCCGCGGTATAAGGAAGGATTGACTTCATCGCGCCTTTAGATAAATTAAACCATGTACAAGCTAGTGTACACTTTAAAGTAAAGGACGTTTTATTTAATAGGGTGTGGTTATGCGCAAGGGATTTTCAACTTAAATCTATGAAAACGAGATCGGAGAGTGATTTTTTCCCTACACTTAACACCGAAGTCAAGCCACAGTTTCGGTCTGTATAAACAGATTCAGATTTGTACACATGAAAAATAAAGACAATAATAAAAATGAACATTTACATGACGTGAACAAAGCTTGTCTGTACCATAGCAAATTGATAAACTTGGTCACGCGACTCACCATCTTTAATACAGCGAACGATAGAAACAAGAGGCCCAGTTTATGACTCTGCTTTCTGCAAGAAAAATTTGAACTTTATTGATTTCTTAACAAAATCTTTTTTATACGATAAGCACCTAAACAACCTTCGAAAGGATTTATTTTATTATACATTTTATCGATATGTTTTGTTGAGACACAGTACAACGGTCACAGTCCGAAGAATCACGCAATCCTTCGAGAAGTATCAATAATCTTAAAATGATGCCGGAATGGGTGAATGGTGTGTATTATGAATTGTTACAAGGTCGTTTCGTGCGTTTATTAAAAGAGTCGTTATATTCTTCAGTTTTAATGTTTACAAGATAAGGAACATAACGTCATCGAAAAACACGCGCATGACATGACACTGCACTGAAGATGTTAATACGGAAATATGATAACCTTAGTCAAAGTTGATAGCAACAAAAGAATTTGTCAACAGTTTGATCTGAACTCGATTGCTCGGAGTCAACATCGCCTGAAAATATTACTCTTTGTCTGTCGATGTTTTGAATATAGCTGAAGGCTTCCTAGCATCAATATCAGCTGCCTGGATATTTCGTTATTAGGCTCTGGAAAGTCATAATACCATGAGAGGAAACCCGATTTGAAAGATAACAGATATAAGGAAGCATCGTGCAAACTTCGTAGGATCTGCTCTGCTTCGGCAGCAGATCCTTTGTGAACGGTTAGTATTATTCGCAAGCTTCTGCTCCATCATTCGAGAAAGCTTTCCGGGCAAAAAGATTTCGGTGTTATCGTTAAGCTCGTAAATACTTTCCGTTTCTAATGGCAAATACTTCCTTGTGTCCATGTCGCCTGTCATAAATTACTAAGCGTTGCTAAGAGGTATAGCGCTATAAAAAAGATATGCCTTAAATAGAATTTCGCTTTACCTCGTATCATCTGTCAGTGTTTTAATGTTAGGGTTGTATATAAATGAAAGTTTTATAAATGAATCTGTTACATTTTATATAACGTTGGGGAAATGAGGCTTTTGAATCTTTTCATTTCGTTTTCTCGTCAAGACATGTTGGTATTGACATACAAAGTGAAATTTACATGCAACAGGACTGAAGCGTGGAATGTGACACAACCTAATTCATTATGTGGTGTAGTTTCGTCTGATACGGACTTAGTGTAATTACTCTCCACTTAGTTTGAGCAATTTGAGCTCGTGCCCCATTTTGTTTCGGATATTTGCGTGCCCACCTTACCCGGCATCAGGGGCACCCAACGACAATTTTCGGAAAATATCTGTTCGGAAGACGATTTGAGATCAAGAATTTTCGGAACATTTGTTGTAAAATGCCCTGTCCGCCTGCCTCTCCTAGGATTTTCGAACATCTAAAAAATGGTATAATTACCCAGTTTTAACGGATTTTTACCCTAAAAAGGTCACCTAGAATTTTCGGGAGACTTTTTTCTGGCTGGAATTTTCGAAAAGGTAAGTTTTGATCCCTATAATTTTCGGATAACTAGACTTTCAGCTAGGAAATCCGAACAGATGAAAAAATTTTAGGGGATAAAAATATGCCTATATCTACCGTTTAAATAATAAAATACGGTTAACAATGCTATGTTTAAGTGGTTTTGAACTATATTAAGCAGACCCCCAATTAAGCAGACACCGTCTATTAAGCGGACACTAAGCCGGGTCCCGAAATTAACGTCTTACATTTTTCTTTATAACGAACCCCTATTCAGCGAACACCTCTATTAGGCGGACGCGGACACCTAAAATCAATTGTAACTGGCTAATTTCTATTGTTAAAAAATCTTTATTAAGCGGACACCGGACCAAACTGACAATGGTAGTATTGGACTACGTCCTTGAAATACGTGCTGTAGTAGGTTAATGTTTTTGCATTTACAAACAAATTAAAGTTGGCAATGAAGGTAATGAACTTGAACTCTGGATAGCTTTGTTAACAACATGGAACTTTATCACAGTACAGAGTAACCGTTGAATGTTAATCGTTAACAAAGATTGGGCGAGTTTTACAAACCTCTATTAAGCAGACACCCTCTATTAAGAGGACACTTGGCATTCTTGGATTTTAGATTCCATACTGTGGATTACGGATTCTAGGTACTGGATTCTGGATTCCTTGTTAGTGGAACTTGGATTCCTTTAACGGGATTCCAGATTTTTTTAGCTGAATTATGGATTCCAAACCCAATAATTCCAGATTTCACAAACAAAAATTTTTCGGGATTTCAGAATCCGGACTACCTTAAATGCACTACTTGGCAATTAATTTTAATTTGCTGTTTTCTACATCTTTCCCACCACAGTTCATACATATGATTGAAATGGAAGCAGACGATAGCCAGGAAAGGTTCATCAAAAAGAAATGCCTTCCAGGCCTGACTGTTTGTGCACTGGTATGTTGTGAAACACAGGAACAAATTAGTATAGTGTACGAGTAAACTGAATGGGCAATCATCCTGGGGGGTGGGGCAGGGCAGGGGTACAAAGGGCGATCTTTCTTAATAAGAGATCATATTAAATGAGGTCTTGAACCCCCGCCCCCCAGAAAAAAAAACCTTGCTCTTAAAGTAGTACCCTCTTCTATATGTACCCAAGCAATATCCAACCTTGTCCCCAGGGCTTTTCCGTTAATAAATGGGTGGGGTGCCCCACCCATTTTTTAAGGGAAAAGCCCTGCGAACGAGGTTTAGCAATATCTTTAGTTTATTATAAGAAGGTGTATGTTGTTACTTGCTGCTGGAATTATTTTTTTAAAAGAACAATTCAAGCCAACAGGACATTAAGGCTTGTTAATTAGAGTATTGTCTGGTCTACTCTACAATTTCAAGAAGGATGCTGCCTTTATTAAGAAAGACAGCATCCTTCTTACATTTTTTGCAACAATTTTTGCAGCTGAGTGGTATTTTCATGATTGGTGCTGGTAGTGCAGTGATTGTTGAAGAAAAAACACACGCTACAATTTCTACTAGCTTACCTATACAAAGAGCCCCTATTGTTCTTCTTGTGGCTGGAATTTTAAGCTTGATTGATGGAATTGTTTGGGCTGTTCTGTTATGCTGCTGGATCCAAAATGCGAACTTTTGTGACCTGAAGAAAACAGTAGCAGTGGTAAGAAAATTATTTCTTTTTTTCGGGACCTTATAGTGAAGTATTGATTCATTGATTCATGATATGGTAGACTTCTAGGAGAGCAAGAGTTTCTCTTAATTCTATACCCCACCTGAGAGCCTCATGTTCACAGGCTAGTTCAGAATTTTAAAAAAACTCTAGTTACATGTACCACCTGATCATCAAATCTAAATTTATGGTAGGGTATTTCCTATATAATCCTGGAATACTAGCAATACTTGAACATAATTTTCATGGTTACCGTTAGATATTAAATTTCTAAACTAGCACTCAAAAGACTTCCTTGTGCATCAGGAAGTATCTTGGGCATAGAACTAGGGGAGGTACACAAAATTTTTAGGAACAAGGAGGTGTAAAAGTCCTGGATTATGACATAACCCTTACACTCCAGCTGTCCTACAGCAAATACACAACCAACATAACATCATCACTGCAACCCATTGTATTTTAGTTGTTGTTGTCAGTTTTTGTTTCTTGACAGATATGGTAACATTTGCATAAACTAAGCCATTTCATCAGTGTATATTACAACAAACACCTAACCTTACACTCCTTACATGTATAAACACAAACAATAATATTCTCCTGCAGGACCTTGGGCTGGGAGGAAAACTTTAAAATACTGGTAATCATGTTACTAAAGAGTTGTTTGTCCTTATTCCTTTTAGTTAACAGGCCTACTATTAACATCAGCTCTTCTTGCATTGGTTGCTGGAGGTCTTGGGGTAGACTACTCCAAAAGGGTATAACATATCTAAATTAAACTTGCGACTTTCTGTTACCAGGATTAAGTGATGTTTGCATGAAATAATCTAAGGGGTGTTTACATGACACAAGGGTGACTTTCGCACCGGAGTGAGTTCACTCCGGTTCCCTCTAATGGCTCTACATTTGTTTACATGATACCACCACAAAATGTCACGCTGGCGCAAGTCACCACGGCATGAGTTCATGAGTTGTTGTACAGGGGCGAGAATTTCACTCCCGTACAAAATCTCGCAACCGTGTCATGTAAAGGTGAAATGACCACACGTTTTGGTGTGAAATCAGTATGCCCATAGACTGGAACGGGTAGCGCATGCGCAACGTTTGCGATTTTGAATCTTACGTGTATTTTATCAACATGAAGTGTACCTTCAAATAACGAGATATGAAATGACCCAGTCATCATGTAGACGCCATACAAAATAAAACAGTTATCCCGGTATAAAACTCGCGCCGGTGCGAGTTTTCTCATGTAAACACCCCCTAAGAGTAATATACAGTTTTTGAAAATTGCTGAGGCAAAAGTTTGAAAACCTAGGGTACTACGGATAATTTTATTAAGTTTATATGCCTTAGCTGGCAGTTATCATTGTAAAATCTGCGAATTTTACCCAGAGATGCTGAGATCCTGGTTGCGGCAAAATGGCCATTACTTACAGCTACAAATCAACTTAAAAAACATTTTCATCTACAGATGTAACCTTTTTTGTGTGTTTTTTATTTGTCCTAAATATTCCCAGGCTCATATTATAAAACTTACGTACCTCAATGTGAATTTTCCATCCTCAAAACTTTTGCCTCCAACTTCTCGGCAGTGTCAGGATCTGACGGCATATTAATATTAGTCTTTTGTGTAGCAGTTGTCATCCTTCGAGTGGTATTTTTGGCTTTTCTTGCTATCTTTTCGTTTTCGCACTTAACTTCTTCACATGTCAAACAGATGAACCATACGTCTTTTTCCGAGATCTAATTTGCCAAACCAGCTGAGCAGCCGCGCCTTGTCACTTTTTCTGTCAATCGTAAGGTCGGTAGTGCAGAGCTGGGAAAAATGGCATGCCTGATAATGCCTGATGAGGATGAACGGACATAAAAATGTCGCCCGGTTACTTAACGAGAAAACGCCACAAACAATTCATTTCAAAATCCAGGACTATTACCAAGCAAAGAATAAGTCAAATTATTTCGCTTTGCAGTTTGACTTCCTAACACTTTAAGACGAAATCCACCAGGACATTGAGTAATTTTGATTTGCAGTGGACAAAAATCTTGTACCATTTTAATTTGAAGCATATTGCATTCTTTTTTACATTTTTTAAGGGCTAAAGATGTAATAAGTCATCTGTAGTAAAACCCCCAAAAATTTCTTATGGGAGCCCGAGAAAATGAATGTCAAATTTCACAAAGTTACATGTTACACATGAAATTTTCATAATTATATCTGGCATGTGTAATCACAATTCTTGTGAAATTTGACATTCATTTTCTCTGACTTCATGAGAAATTTTCTTTGGTTTCACTACAGATGATTTATTACATCTTTAGCCCATGAAAAATGTTAAAAAGAATGCAATTTCTTTAAATTATTCTGGTACAAGGTTTTTATCCACTGAAAATTAAAATTAGTACCACTTAATTTCCTGGTGGATTCCGTCTTCATAACCCGAGCAAGGTTTTGTCATGCACGGTCATAAGCAGTGAAAACTGATATCATAAACTAACTCGCTCGACCTTTGTTATTTTCCTTTTTAGCCGCTTTAGGGAAACCCTGGCACTTACACCACCATTTTTACTGAAATACTAAGTAAACTTTAGGGAAGAGAGGTATAGATATGTAGAACGGGTACAGAAAAAGTAACTTAATTCATATATCTGGGTTCAGCCAATAAGCTCCAATACAAAATCCTTTGGGAATCGACTTTGGTAGAGACCCTGAACCTATCTGTGCGAAAAATTCACCCACATCCACTTACAGTGTATCCTCCTGTTACAGTAAAAAGAAGGTCTTTATTTCCTACATTTGATATAACTTTTGTCACTAATTTTTACTGAACTAACTCTTTCTAGCTGAAGAGTAAGTTTAAAGAGGACTTAACGGAAAAGATAGGAGTGTATGGAAAGACGGGACTGTATGAAACATTGGTTAATATCGACAAATTACAAAAGGAGGTTAGTTGACAATGAATTTACTCGTCCAGCTTTTATTCTTAATGCTCAGGCATGTCAAAGCTTTCCCCCAACTCTGTTCCTGAGGCATTTGTTCGGAATCTGGGAGTCCATTTGGGAGTTCGCAGGGTTTGATATGAAGAATTACGCCTTTCAAAGGATCGATTTGCATAATTCCTCACATCAATACTCAGCCCCATTCTAGCCTGCGTAGCAGGCGCTTGGAAGTAGTGGGTGAAAGAGAGAACGGACGCGCGCGAGGGAGACACGCAACCTCGCGTGTCTCCTTCTCTTGCGCGCGTTTTTTCTTGTGCCCACTACCTCCAAGCGCCTGCTACGCAGGCTAGCCCCATTCAAAAACTGTTTTAATCGTTCATTTGAAATATTCTCAAAATATAAATACTTTCAGGAAGGCTTTCTCAAAACATTTCCTTTTCAGTATTTTGATTTTCTTTGTGGACATTCCTCAAAAGGGAGTTTATATCTATCGAACGGTATTTCCGCGTTTTCTTTATATCATTTTAGCCAATCTTTGGCTATTTCGTCTTCCAATATGTAGCTGTGCATCTTTTTCCCAATTTATTTTGAGTTCAGCAGTCAGCACTGCTTAAAGACCAAAACAGCTCAGCTGCCTCGTCCCTGTCTTGCATGGTGTTGATCTTGGACAGTTTATAGTAATGTGATTTTTTTTCCTGATTCTGCTCGAAAAAATACATCATTACAGTCGAAGCTCTCCTTGCGACTACTCTCGTACGCGACCAGCTCTGGTTACGACCACCTTCTGCAACCCCGTTTGAGCTGTGATTTAAACTTTTTGATGAAAAGCTCTCGTAAGCGACTGCGACCACTTTTGAGAATACCCAACTGGACTTTTCCTTGGTTTTTACGCTTTTGGTAAGCGACCACTCAGAGTCTTATTCATATAAAGCAACACCCGAAAAAACACGAACAGTGAGTTTTTTTGAACGGCTTCAAAATCTTGTGATGTAGATCAACTCATTCTTGCGCTAATTTTTAGATTTTAACTGTGTTATTTTGGTCTAAAAAAATTGGACTTAAAGTTTAGCCGTGTCTACAGATATGGAGACATTCATCAAACATAAATTTCTTTTTTCCTTTATGAATTATGAATGAGTTAATTCTGAAGCTCTGGTAAGCGACCACCCTCTATTTTTTCACCAGGCGGTCGCTTACGAGAGTTCATTCTCATAAGCGACCTGCTCTAGTTGAAATCACTTTTTCGAATTTCTGAGGTGGTCGCTTACGAGAGCGTCGACTGTAGTTAACCAAGGGAGAACAATACAGTTTGTTAAGGGGAAGATATTGGGATCTAGGATTCATTCTTTCTTCTTAAACTGTCATGATGGCCTTGCAATAATTGATGATTACACTGTTTTGTCTTCATTTTTATCTTTACCTATTTTTTTATCGTGGAGGCGTCTGTTGCCGTGCGGTTAACACCTCGATTTCTGGATCTGGATTGGAGGACCGGGGTTCATGCTGGGGTCAGATATATAATTTTAATATCAAAACTCACGGACTGACAAATCGGTCTGTATTGGCCTGATTAAGGTTACGCTATACTTCAGAAAATATGGGCTGTCATATGTGGAGGCGTGTGTAGCCGAGCGGTTAACACCTCGAACTTCGGATCTGGAGGTCCGGGGTTCAAGCTTCGCCTGTCGCGTTGTTTCCTTAGACAAGGAATTTTTCTCCACTTTGTCTCTCTTCACCCAGGTGTATAAATGGGTACCGCTAGGGGGTAATCCTGCGATGGACTAGTTTCCCGTCCAGCGGGGAGTAGCAATACTCCTTGGCACGCCTCATACAATGGAATCGGGAATAAGCTCCGGCCGTTCGGGCCCTTGGTTCATTTGCGCCTTCATTTACCTATTTTTTTTTATCATTTTCGCTTTCCAAAGAATGTTATCTTATCTTTCAGGACAAGTGTTGTGGAGTAATAAATTATGCTGATTGGCGAAACACCATTTATGGAGGTCACAGATATGACAAAGTACCAGATAGCTGTTGCATGGAACAAAAACATGCTTGCGGGTTTGAGTTCGAATTAAGCAAGATTAAACGTCAGGTACGATATTCAATTGTTGTGATGTGAATTGTAACATGACTAAACATCATGAATTTTTTTCCTTTTGTTTTTTTTATTGCCTTCATCTTTTCTTTTATTCTTCTTTTTTATTTTGTTTTCTTTTATCCGATTTGTGGTACCCTGTGCGACTGAGGGGGTTTCCAGTGCCATAAAATAAACGTGCCAATTGGTTCAGTGTTTAGAATTAATGATGATTAGCTTTTGCAAACCATCAAGTTTTCAATCACAAGGCCCTCAGTGTTACGCATAAGAATGCCTTTCTTGGGATCGTTGATAAATGGAAGAAAGATTTCTTAATGGGACTGTGTACCAGGTCATTTCTACGAAAATGTAGGGTGCCAATAATAGAACGGATTGAAAAGCCTAAGCTATCTCAATAGCTATTTAAACTTTTGTATTTTAAATGTTTAAAATTTTGTAGCTAATATTTCTGGATTTCAGTTTTTCGATATGTACCAAGGGCAGTGAAGTTCCTGGATAATTGTCCGGGCACTCCCTTTCTCACTTCTTAGGATATCCCTCCTCCTTCTGCTCCTGCATCTGATTATGATTATAATAATTATAATTATGATTTTAATTTTGATTATGATTTTGATTATGATCATAATTAAGATTATTATTTTCATTATGATTATGATTATAATTATAATTATGGTTGTGATATTGTTTCTTCTTTCTTAATTTTATTGTCAGGGTTGTTTAAAGGTTGCTGTGGATAAGATGAATGCAGATTTACTTGTTATTGGTATTGGAGGCATTGTTGCTGCCATAATTCAGGTACGTGAACACCGTGTCCGCATATGAATTCCATTGCACATTTTCAAAAAGAAGTCTGATGCTGAGGCGTGGGATTTCGTCTTGTATTCATCCAGGAGAGCAATGCAATAAGCGTGATCTGTAAACCCTAAGAAGTCTATATAGTAACACACACTTAAATCTACCTAACCAAGAAGATCCCTTCTTCCTCCTTTCGCGGAAATTTTATTAGTACCAGAACTATACGTCGATGTAGTTCCTTTTCTTCAACTGCCTCTCTGGACTCAATTTTCAAGTCCAAGCGAGGCTTAGTAAACCCGAATTGTGAAAATGGCGCCAGTGCTGATTCCCAGTAAAAAACAGTAACTAGAGGGTGACGAAGTAAGCCAGTTAAAGATTGTTGCTTTTCAATCTCCTAAACCATGTTTATTTCATTAGTTTTAATAGAACCAAAATATAGTGCAATTGCTTTGCAGATAATCGTAGGCGTTGGATTTTGTTCGTGTTACATTCGTGAATCCAGCAACCAAGATGAACACCGTTCTCACGTGCATGTTTCCTATCGAAAGTCAGCATCGTTACAGGAAAACGAATATGACGACGCCGCAGCCACACAGGAAGGTGACGCTTCGGGTACTCAGCAAAGCAGCGAGAAGCCCGCTGGAGAAAAATCGCCTGAATCTAAAGTTGAGGTACATCGTGGTAAATCAAAAACAGCTCCAGAAATGCAATCCGAAAAAACTTAATTCGAACTTTCCGCAACACCGAAAGGATTCTTTGAGTTCGACCTATCTGCTAACACTGGGTTTTAATAATTTGTTTTTCCAAATATGTATCAGTTTTTAATATGGCATCGAGAAAAACGGTTCAAAGAAAACTAGCTCCTTGATAAAGAAGCTAATAGAAAGATGGCAAGGGTTCTAGAACAAGCCGACCAGAACTATTTGCAAGGCCCGTAGAGTTTTCCAAAAAGCGCTCTCGTACTGCCCCTAAAATGATAAGACGCTGATTATCAGAATGTACTGACATCACTGCCGTGACTTGAAATTCCGATGTATTATCCTAATATTCAAGACTCTAGTGACTTTTTGCTCTTAATTTTGAAGTATAAATTTTTAACTATTTGAGAAGCTCCACTCGAAACAGTAGGGAGTTTAAGATGCCGATCGCCACGGAGACGTGGGCGAAAACGTCACTTAAAAAAGTGAATGCGATTTTTCCAATTCGCTTACTTTGTCAAATGGAATGCAACTCTTTCGGAGTTGCATTCCTGAGAATTAGAACCATATCCAAATTCAGAAATACAGCAAGAAAATTTCGTCGTAGCTTATTTACGTCCTCTACAACGTACACCTGAAATTAGGCATTTCACGTCGTAGTTGTGCAGTGACGTACAGAGTTGTTGTTTTGCACATTCAGGCTGCGTTCACATGGCAATGCACGAATTTCCACCGGTTGAAAATTCGTGAGTTTAGTTGTTCTGTTCACACGAAACCATCTTACCCGTACGAAAATTAAGACGTCTAGCCGTTCAAAGTTCCGTGGGGGGTATGAACTGAGCGAAAATTAAATATCAAGCGGTTCCCTTTGAACAAAGCAGCCGGTCGAAAATTCGTCCGGTGTTTTGTGAACATCCTACCACGTGACATGCGGACGACCATAAATCCATCAACTTTTAAAAATGAATTTGAAAACATTGTTATTTTCCCAAGTTTTTTCATGACTAGGTTCTTAATTTTTACTTGTATATGCTTATATATTGAGAATTATTTTTATTTTATTGTTTTTAGAACTTCTGTGAAGCGCAATCGAGCATTTTTTTTATTGAAATTGCGCTATATAGGTGTCACTTATTATTATTATTATTATTATTATTATTATTATTATTATTATTAACATCGCCTCAATCTATTGCGATTTTAACGTTATCGTTGCCCTCGTCGTCTTGGCATCTTTAAAACTCCAGCCTTTTGCACCTATCAATGTAAAGCCGGGGGGAGGGGGCGTAGGGCATGGGGTGGGGATTTGATAGTCTTTGTTGTCCCTGGGGTAGGGTATTTGACTGATCTTGTTCTCCTGGGGGAGGGGATATTTGAATCTTTCTTCGCCCGACGTGGAGATATTTGACTGCCGACTCGGACGAAAAAGACTGAGACTGAACATATGTTTCCCGCTTCCACGCTTCACGCATGCGCCATACGGTTTGAAAAGATCAGGAAGTCATGGAGGCCAATGAGAACAAGCGAAGGCTGAGTGGATCACTGTTTTGTCTTCAAATTTCGTTTGCTTTAGCGTGTTTTTGATCAATTGAACCTCTTAAAATACTGTGGTATCAAAGCAAAGGGAAATAAAGAGAAACCAAGTCGATTTTTGCAAGTACAATTGATTAGTGTATGGCTCATTCGCTACAATCACTGTAAACTTATAAAACTAACGTTCTTTGTACCCTTTACTAAGAACGGTATATTTAGACTTACAAAATGTGGACTTTCTCCTAAAAGTTTATGTATTCTACGCAGTGTAACACGGATTATGGTTAAAACGTATAACTGCAGCTGTAAAAGATTGCAGAGTTTTATTTGGAGATATTTTTATTGTGCCTTTCTTAGGTTCTGCCTTGCGACTGACAGCAATGTGCAGCCTGGGGTGGGGAAATTTGGTTGCATTTGACTGGAATGATTTGCCCGTGGGCAGGGAATTTGATTGTAAATTTTTTAAAAAAGTCAAATCCCCACCCTATGCCCTGCCCCCCCAACTTTTCTAATGGTCCGTCCCTTAACCAGACTTTCAACTGACTCTGAACAGTGCCGGAAACAACCTCAAATAGCATACGGATCTTATTACTACGGATTTTTGAAATAGGTACGACATTAGGCTGATTTGCGTTTTCCTTTAGATAGAAAGGCTAGCCATATAAATAGTAGCGTGTACAATTAGCGCTGGGCAGATAGATCGTGTAGGGAAGTAATGTTGGCGTGTAAACCGGCCCTGATCTAGGGAAAATAAATGACAGAATTATCAATAACTAAATAAATAAATGAATAAATAGTTGCTGAACAAATATCGGTGATTATCGGGTTAACAAAGCGTGCAGACAAATGGTCAATATATATATAACTATTGAACAAGCGACTTACATTAACGATGCTAATAGTTACTGAATCGAATAAAAAAGAAGTAAAGGACGAAGTATGTCCTTTTCATGGAAAGAATAAAATAATGTATCCAATGAAGTGGTGAGTTTACGCACATTTTTCATCTTGGTTGGGGTTAACCCCTTGCCCCATCTTCCCTTCAAATATCCCCGTCCCTAACCCCTTAGGATAAAAGATAAAGGTTCTTATTTTTACAACGGTAACTCACTAATGCCAAACTTGAAGCCCATAGTGCGCTCATGTTCCCCCCACCCTTTCTCTCCCTCTCTCTATTACTGCTCCGTTTCACGCTACAGGGAAAGAAAAAAGGGCGAAACAAGGATTTGAGCTCAAACCTGAGACTCAGAACCCCCGCCGCACAGAAGACCGCGCGCTAACCGACTGTGAGAATCCCTGCTTTTTAGGAAGGTCTGCAATTCAGGTTATGTAATGCCGAACTGGCCAATAGCGCTACAACAAATGAGACCCCAAGCCTACCCTACCCATCATCCCTTTCGGGTGTGTCGTGTATGTTACAGTCAGGATAACATTCCCGTAACCATTAAACCACTCAACCCTCTCCCCTGGGTTGTTTGTAACATGGCTGGGCTCGAATTCCGTCACTCGTTCGTCCTCCCAGGAGAGGAGCGCGGGCTACCATTACCGTATTTTCTCAATGAAACACCCCTGGCGTTTAATTCAACTTGGTCTTGTGAACCCGGCGTTTGTTTCAATCCGCAGTTTGTTCTGGCTTCCTGTTTCTAGAGAAAAGATTTTTTGGTCATTTTTCCTGACAACCGTGTTTCTTGACTTTACAGCGCAAGTTTATCGTAATACAAATAAACGTCTGAGGGGTTTGTTCACAACATTCCCTTCAAGATCCGGCGATTCATCGAGAGAATACGGTACATCTATTAAATTCCTACGCACGTGCGTACTGCGCACAGGAAGAAAGACGTGGGATTTTCTAACGGTCGCGCCCGTTAAAGCGTTATGCTGTCCGTTTAATAAACGTTTCTCTGAGTATCAGTCAGAGACACTGTTTTTCCTTTGTTTGTGTGCAATTTTTATTGGAAAGTAACATCATGACATTAAATTGTACATTATTTAGTGACCTTTGTCAATGTCACACACTCAAGTACGCAATAGTTCACAACGTGAAAACGTTTCTCAAAGACTACAAGTTTAGACATCGCTTCCTCCGAGTTCATTTATATAGTAATTGACAATTAATTTTGTTCTTGTTAATAACCACACGAAACGAATGTTTTAAAAGTGTATAACTTCCTCCTGATATTGAAAAATCTTGCGTCTGAAAAATTTCTAGGAGAGTTACTTACCCTAAGACGAGCTCCCTTCAAACAATTTGAAAAACTGGGACAGAAAATTCCCCATGACATAAGCCATCTCCGATTTGTGCCCCCAATACTGAGGTGAAAGAGGGTGTGGTCTGCTTTGCATACTGATGTATTGTTCTTCGGGCTCTTGCATGGGTTGAACAGGGGACAGGATCCTTTAAAGAGTTTATGCCTACAAGTCCAATTTTTGACCGGGGTTTACTCTTTTTAGAGTCTTCCATTGTGACGCTTGTAGGTCATTACTGTTTCATTGAAGATCTATTTTGGGGTGAAATGTTTCAGAAAAGGTCCCAAAATTAATGCTTTCCTCGAGGCTAGGGGTAGGGAGGTGAAAGGTTTGTATAAAAAGATCGCATACGTTGCGCTTCTCTCTGCCAACTAAGTTGATCAACTCCCGTCCACGAGTTACTAAAGTTGAACGGGCAGTTGGCAATTAAAATGACGCAATTCCAGCAGAACTAAATGAGGATAAATTTTACGCCTTGGTGCAATGCTTTTATGTCTTCTTCCAAAACTTCCCCACTCTACTAACAGACACTAACGTCCAATTGTAATCTTGTTGGCTTCTTTGCAACTTGTATAATATTTGGTCTATAATAATGGAAAAAATGATGACGATACATTAACATGTAACATCACTATCACTGGATGACTATAAATACAGTCACGTAACAGGATGGTTCATCTCATTAACAACAATTGCGTCTTGCTTCTTTTTGTTCTACTAAGATGCGCGTTATTAGAAAACCGGAACAGATTTGAGTTATCGCGGTCACAAGATATTTTCCCAGGTACGTACCGAAGAGTAGGTTAGATTAGTAAGGGGATCAGGACCTGGATTCGAGGCCATATGGCGTTAAGTTTGTTTGTTGGTTGGTTGGTTTTTGTTTCGCTCAGTTTCACTAACGCAAGAGCAAGTTTTCACATTTGTAGAGCTCCTTAGCTTTCCGAAAGTAAAATTGAAATGCAATTGGCCAGATCTTACCATGTGCGCGCTGTCACAGAATAGGGTCGAGGCATCGGCGGCTGAAACTCAACTTTCTGCTGACTGTTGATTTGGCTTAATCTGTCCTGATGTTTTGCTGATGGCGAACTGAAATCGGTTGCGGGAAGGACACGGATGGATCCACCATGACCATTCTTTGGACTTGAGCTCTGCGGTCAATAAAATTTAACAGTGAGACTAGCACTTAACTCTAAACAATATTTCTCACATACCCCACTCCCATTCCCACTACTCCACAAACTTATTACTTCACGCCTACACATTTTTTTTCTATTTTCCCTACACCACCACCACTACCTCCACCCCCACTGCCACCACCTTCGACAACAAGCAAATGAATACTTATTTTTAATCAACCAATCAAAAAACCAAGCCATTAATCGATTTAAAAATAACTTAACAACCTGTCTAACCGGTATTGCTGTGCAAGTTAATAAGTTTTACGCGCAAAAAAGACGGCGTAACCAGGACCTGCTATACCACTGGGATTGTTGGGGCAGCGTGACCGCGCGAATAATCCAATCCGGACGCCCGTTGGCCAGTTGGGACTCATACCTGTCATGTTCATTTCTATCAATTCCTTTTTCTTATATTTTTTGTGGGCCACCATGTAAACTCCTCGGTTACCAGTAATTGTGTTTCTTTGATTAAGCCAATTATTATCATTATCACTATCATTATCATTATTTCTGATGGCCAGAAAACGATACAGAATGGGCCATTTACACGATGACATCATTTACTACTACGACCAGAATCCTTCAGGGTTTTCCGTTCTTGTGGAAATTACGGCTTTTGTCATTTAAATCTCGCTGGGATTACCAAATTTAAATATGAAAAGAAAAACGAAAAGGATTCTGGTCGTAGTAGTAAAATGACGCCATCGTGCAAATGGCCTATTGCAAATTTAGGAATGTCACGGCGATTGATCAACCTGTCACTAACCTTGCTATTGGGCAAAGAAGTCCCTGTGAACTTTCTTAAGGGAGCTCCTCCAGTTCGACTGGCCCCAGCAGGATCCGGCCTTTCACTTTGTGACCTCGCTTGAGGGTGCATGCTCATGGAATCATGGCCGCCGATCTTGGTCCTGGTTTGAACAGTGTGCGGATGAAGAGGATCAGTTGGGGGATTAGAGAAAGGTTTCCCTTCTATCTCCCTCGGTATAGGGTCTGGGATTTTCGATCTGAGAGAGTTAGAATGACAAAGGAAAAAATCTGTCAACAACGGATGCAGTTTGTTTTCCTACGAAATTAATCATACCATCCCTC